AAGATCACCCAGATGACTCTGATCACGAAGCCTATGACTCATCAATCACTACTGTAAATAAATACTGGTGGCTCCATGAACGTTTGTATCGTTTTGCAACCACCATATGCACTCCATTGTCATGCGTGGTTAGTTGGATCTCAGTTTGTCAGGCAGTTTACGACCATGACTGACAAAATGTGCCATTCAGACTCTTGTGTGAATTTGTGCTGCAGAGTGCTGCCTGATTTTGTTGCTTTTACTGAGTTATTTGTGTATCAGGGTTCTGGATAATTAGCGTACATTGAGAGAAAACATGAAGAACATATTCCTGTTGAAACAAAATATTGATTTACCTGAATTTAAAGAGAAACTTTCAATGGAACAGAAATACTGACTCGAGATCTTCATTATTTAATTTTGACAACTAAAGTTACCAAAAGAAACGAAGTTTACACAGGTTCTTATGGTGTTGGTTATGAGGTTTACAAGTGACTGCGAATCAAAGGTCTTTTGAAAATAAAGGCAGTGCTAACAAAAATATTCCAGTAAAATGTGTTTGGTTTCTGCTGGATTTCTAATTTTAGTGCCCTTCCAGTTTTAGAACCTGTCAATGAAATGGTCGAATGATCTGAACAGAGCAAAATGATTGTGGATTTAGGAAGGTGAGAGTTGTAAGTTGGTAAAAATGCGTTGAAGGACATGAAAAATTTCAGTTTAGAAAGAATTATTCCATGAAATGTAAGGCAACAGCTGACCAATGCGATGAAAAACTAATGTTTTTTTTCATTTCATATTGGAATTGGGAGAAAAGAAATATAGGTATTGGGGATAATTCAAATCAAACACGCATTTGACAATTCCTTTTATTGCTTATTTAGTACGGAAGATTTAATTTTTTTTTTTTTTTTGTAACAATACTGTATTGGTTGAACATTCTCAATTTACACCAGCCTCATTCAACATAATTGTTTCTGCACAATTTTCCGAGTGTTAAGTTGACTGATAACGTGACGTAGGAACTCTTTGGAGAGATAACATCAGTCAGAGTTAGAACTTACCTCCTAAATTTTTGGTAAAGATTTTTATATAGGCTAATGAACACTGTGTACTTGCTCTGCTAAATTGCATGTTAATATCACAGCCAGCGCCACACTATCTCAATGTGTGGAATGAGACATGTGGACATGGAGGAGGAATTTTGTCTCCATCTCTCTGAATGTTGGCCATACAAACCAACATTGTTAACTAGATATAGCTATCTTGTTGCTCTGTACTGAGCATTACGTCCAGGATCTTCAATTCATTTGGCGGTGAATAACCCTAATACCAAGAAACTGTTTACAGCTACTAGTCTCAAATCAGTATCTCATAATGAATTGAGAACTGACTGAGCACTTAATTCTCCTATAAATACTAAAACGATTTTACTTAGATATTTTTACCTAAATCTGACCATGACATGTCTTATAGAGCACACAGGAATTTTATTCAGAAGGTTTGAGAATAGTTTGGAGGGACAAAATTTTACTATACGACATTGGCTAATTAGTAAGTCTATTTTTAAAATGGGATCCAAATTTTTTGTACATACATATATTGTAGGAACATTTATAATATAATTTCTATTTTGCTTTGTATGGAAATGATTAAGTGCAGTGCTGTAATGAAATGTTTTAAATCAAACCATATCATGAAGATATGGAAGGAAGGAAGTCTTATGCAAATAGTATTCAAGTATATTTATGTCGTAAACATGTAAATTTTCCCATTTGAGAGACAATATATGGTCATATATTTTGAAATATCTAAATATTTCTGGTCCTATTTTTTTACTGGCCAGGTTCTACATAGTACATTGTAAAATTAAGTTGAGTAAGAATGATTATGCAATGCTCTGAGCTACCTTCGTCATAAATTGCACTGCTTATCATCACTATTATAGTTGTTGAATTGTTTCTAGGGTGGTTTTATACTATTCATAATATAATAGTGTTTATTATTGCATTTTGTTGAATTAAAGATAAAATTGTGCGAAAAGGCTGAAGGATATCTATGTAGAGAGATCCGCGTATTTCGGTACAATTTAAATTTGGACGAAGAAGTCCATAAAGTTCATAATGACCTCTGCTTTGCATGAGCAGGTGGAAAGGTCCGGGTGAGACGCAACATCCGGGCTGCCTTTTGTTTTCTGTTGTTTTTTCCTCGCACCTCTCGCGCCTCAGGGACATGACGCACGCACGCGCCATCGGGCGTATGCTGAGGAAATGCCGTTTTGGTCGAAGACTGCGCGACTTGATGTTCATTGGAAAGAATGAAAAACTAAACATTTTGTTTCAGAATGATCATTAGAGAGGAAGAAAAAAGATTTCGTTTTGGAAAAGAAACACATCAGTCAGTTTTTGCTGCTAATTAAAACAAATAGTTGATATTAATAAGCAAAATTTGGTTTATTGATAGTTGACGTGTGTGCGCGTAATATTAGTAGCCCGAAGAGAGAAAAAATGCGTTAGAATCCTATTGTAATTAATGTTGTTTAAATTGTACGGTAACACTGTAGTAATGTAATGACAATTTGCTGTTTCCAAGCATGAAAATGCTGCAAAATATTGTAGCATTGTATATTGAGAACCAGAAAACAATGTTTTACCACTAAACATATAAGTTCTGTAGTTTTTATACTTTCGGCGCCGTTGCTTTTTGGGACGATTTTTGGTAATCGCCGATTTGGCACATTTTCATAATTGTGGTAATGCATGTACATACTATCACTATGGGACTAGCCCTACAACTATGTGCACTACGGTCGTTGCAGAGATGCTTATTGCCAGACTAGGGCCA